ACTGTCCTAGAAAGCTCAACCTCCGCCCTGTTGTAAGGAGAAGAGGAAGCTTGTGGTAAGGGAGTAAGGTTTTTCAGGAAAGCTTGGTTGGAGGCCAGGAAGTTTGAGACTGTTATGCTTGGAGAGGCAAAAGTGGGGCTGTAGAGGGTTGAAGGAAGTCTTAGTAGAATTTTATTTCATAAACAACTTAACCCCTTTTCTGTTTCTATGGAAAGAAAATATGGGGAGGAAAAGAAATTGAAATTTGAATTAAAGGGAAAATGAGAGAAAAAAAAATTTTGAATTTTTGTTTCTGAAAATCATCTATTCTCTCTTCTCTCTCTTCATTTTTTCTTCAACTAAAAAAAAATTGTTATCTGTGTTGTTTTTTCCTCTCTATATTCTTTCCTCCTATCCAAACAAACTGCATTTGTTTCGGTACTAGGATGAATGTGGTTCTAAATAATTGTGATTGGTTTACTGTTTTATTGATTTATTTAACTATGCATCGTCGAAACTTTGCTAGAGGATTTCACCAGTGCAGCAAGATAGGGTATCGCATATGACAAATCACATGTTTGAGCCCCTACTCATTTACTTTGGGTGATGTAAATGCAAGTTCTTTGTAACTGTTCTTGTAGTGTAATTGTGATCCTATATTTTGGCATATTGCAGAACATTGTTGTATATTACTTGAATTAATTTGTAAAAAAGGTCGTTCTGTAGTGAACTTGTATCAGAACTTATTTGTAAAAAAAAATTAGACCAAAAGAATCCTGTTTTTTTTTTTTTTTTTTTTTTTTTTGCATTAATAGTTGCTAATATGATACTTTTGTCTCAGAAGTTTTTTGTATATCCACATGGATAACCTGATATCAAGACCATTTGACTCAACTTGAACTATCTTCTTGTGACTGAAAGGAGTGACTCCTCCCGTGTCCAAATCTACATTTTCTAACATAATAGCTGGATGAGTATATCATTTTGTTTCATCATTATGATAGGATCAACTTGTTTATTACTTCAAGTAGGGGTACGTAGATTGGAAACTATTCCCACCACCCAATAATTTGCCCCATTCACCTAAATTCAGAAGCAACCAGAAATTGGTGAGTTACATAAACCAGTTAGTTGGTACTAAGTAATCATATTTGTGATTCTTAATAGAAATTGATCCATATTGCATGCATATCTTTACTTGACAAGTGCTACAAGTAGAACTAGGTTAAGATCCCTAAAGGTTATTAGGACAATCCTCTTATATAAAAAACTTTAAGATGTAAACTGAATTCCTAGAAATCTTATAGAATCTTAATCATTTTACAATGAAAAGAATCGCATCGGCCTAGTTTACACATGCATCTTGGACATAGAGTGCAAAGTAACCAAGTAAACTGAAACCACACCATAAATTAATCAGTATATTAAATTAATTATTAAAATTAAGGTAGTTTAATTTTAATTAATTGATAAATAGTATACTAATAATTATTATTCTTACACTAATTAAAGATTTTAAACAATTTAAGTAGAAAATAAATGTTTCTAAAATATACTATAACATATTTTAGTTAAATAATTTTACTTTTTTCAACTACTCTGATTTTTAAAATTTCCCTATTATATATTAATTAACATTTTAATTGTATTATAGATGTTAACCCAAGATGTGAATTATATTAATATAATTCATAGTTAATTTTCTGTTTATGTTCTTAATATCGTATAACTAGATAACAGCACCAACATTCATCTCTATATCACCAAGGTTTTATGTGACTTTATTTGACATCCTTCTTCTAGTGTTGTAACATTTATGCCACTATTCGTAGTTCTAAGCATTTTAAATTTTAATAATCATAAATTTCATTACAAATACGTAAAATATTAAGTAGGTGTAATTAATTAATTATATAGATAGATTATTTATCAATTTAAAATAAATAATTATTAATTATATATTAATAAATATACAAAGTAAAAAACAAATTAAATTATCTCAGACCTTAAAGTTGAAAATATAAAATCCATGTTAAAGTAAAAACTTCAAATATATATCAGTTTAATAATAGATACAAAATAAGGATATCAATACAGTGCATATATAAACTATAAAAGAAAATTTTATTTAATATAGTCGAACAAGAAGTAAATGGAACAGTAGAACAGTCATACTACAGTTTTAGGAATAAATCGAAAAATTATAAAGTTTGATTTCAATTTACAAATATATTAAAATTTAGGGTGGGAAGGTTAAATATTCATTTTTTTTATTAAGTATTAAAAATAGCTCAAATCTACTATGCCTTGGCTGTTGAGGAGCATGAAGTGCTCTCCCAAAATTTTTTATATTTAAAGTTTTAAGAAAAAATTATTTGTTCATCAGTCCTTGAATTCAAAAATAATATTATCCTGTAATTTCTTCTTTCCCAAATCTCTTCAAATCTTGAAGATCTTTTCTCATATTTTCGACAGGGACGCAGGATTGCATTCAATATGATCTTTTGTGCAGGTTTGTGTGACACAGAGACAATCATAATTAGTTAACAACGAGACTAGCATTATTTTACACACTAGACTGCGCATAGAAGAGGCTCAAGGAAGAACATTCATTTATGGTTTCAGAGTGACACCCGTCACTTGCAGAATGAGACATGCTAAGCTACTAATTGCTATTTAATTATGAATCTGGTCCTTTATATCATACACCTGTACACAATGTATTGTTGCCTTTCCAATAAACTAGACCTGTTTTTCAATGAAACAAAAACCTCGTTAGCAGAAAATTTTACCTTGGCAGTTCGGTCAAGTGAACCAATGTGTAGTTTATCACTATATTCTAAAACCATCAAGTTTGTCACAGCCTCGCTATGTTTTACATCTCTTGCAACAGATTGAATTTTAAGGGTTGTTTAAGGAGGATTTTGGAGGAGATAGTAAAATTTATATTTTAAATAAAATTATTTAAAACTAATATTTTAAAAAATAAAAAAAATAAATCAATATATTAATAACGTATTTATTACTATAAATGGTATATAATTCTTGTAATTTAAAAATTAAAAATATATTTTTTTCTCTTCAAAACTCCCTTCTCAGACATAATGTCGAGAGTAAAGTTCATATTCCAGGAAAGTTGTCCTATGTAGCCAAGACCCGAATATATTTGCTAATGATCAAGCATGTCTAAGCACAGGATAAGTTCTTTTCTTCAAAATTATTTAAAGGATTTTTTTTGCATTAAGAAAATTATAATAAAAATGAATATTAAATCAGTTGAAGTTACTTTTTTGGTCCTACAGGCCATGAGATGCCCCTTAAATGCTCTTGTTCTGTATAAGTTATCTTACCTAACAAGAGAATAAGAAGACATCAAACACACCAGTGTTGAAATTATCACGTAGTAGATTTTTTACTGGCAAAATGAAATTGGAATTTTTCCATTTTGTTCTTGAAATTGGAGATTCGTCAAAGAAAGGAATACACGGCATGCCCATTAAATGATCATAAAGTTATTTTTAGTTTTTATCTTTTGGATGTTTTTCTAATGGAGATTGCCATACCATCCCCTTATGCAGTAGTTTTTAATTAACTACAATAAAACTCAATTTTTTTCAACATTTGATTTCCCACTTTTCTACACTAATGCTTTCTGCGAAAAAAAAAATTGTGAAAGTTTCATGCTTTTTACATGTTTTTCTGCTTCGCCTTTTGTGTGTGTGTATATACATAATCAATCTTTTAACTTTTCGCGAGCAAATGCACGTCGTTTTTACAACTTCATAATATATTTTTTATCTTTATACTTTTGTGAATTTTTTTATGTTTATTTTTTCATTTCTCTCACTATCGTAGTTAACCAAGGAGTTTTAACATGTTAATTTTTAGTAAAAAATATGTAAGGATCAAAAGAAAAAGGTTGGCTAATTTGAAAAAATATATAAATAAAAATATATTTAAACTTATATTTTGCATGTGCATGTACATATTTTACATGCATTTTATCATAATTTTATCAATTATTATGGTGCTTTGTCTTTTTGTGTAATCCACACTTTTAACTATTCTAATCTTTTCTAATTTTATTTTCTCAAATTAGTCTTATACTTTAATTTTATATATTCGCAAATATGTGGTGGTATTTTCAAATGTAAAACAAGATATTATATTTTTACCTTTTTATACAACATTTTATGTTCCATTATTCTCTTATAATAATAAGGTACGTCAGTCACCATTAATGGTCTTTAAAGCAAGAGGCAAAATTGTCCATCAATGGTTAGTTTTCAGAAAGTTTTCATATAATTGGAATTGTAAATACATTGCGCTACTTTTCCTAACAGATTTCACTGCAAGGCCCAATTAAAAAACGTGTTAAGACTTGTACTCCGGATCATGATGCGTCACTATCATGATCCAAAAAACAAATATCGAGACAAAACAAATCTTGTTTCATCAGGTCTAGTGGCAGGGTATACAGTGCTAATCATGGCATATCACTTGCCTACAAATAAATGCTAATGGATACAAACAGAGAACTGCACAATCTGTTTTCTTCATCCAAGAAGTCATTTTACTTCGAATTAAACATAAAAATTATGATCATCAAACTTACTCCCGAAATGACATCATGCTTAATACTACATAGTATATACACTTATTTTTCTTTCTAAAAGAATACTCGGGACAAGATAGATGTTATTATCAAATAGAATATCATGGGTAATCTTTCTTAGGTGATATTTGCTACTGGTTTTCAGAATCCATGAATTTCATGAGGCTGAATTGAGCTTTAGTATTTGCATATTTAGCTTAACTATTTTAAATAAATGCTCGTTTATTTTATTTTTTTCTAAGAAAATTATAAAAAAAAAAGTGATTATTTACCGCCGAAATAAGCTATACACTAAACATGTACTTGTTTACAACCAAGAAACAAGTTGCTCCGGCATGCACAACAGGTATAGGCACCGACGAAGGAATATAAAAATAACAAGCGAAACAGCAATATCTGAACTACTACCACCGAAGTAAATGTTCCATTTAAATATCTTCGCTCAACAATCCATTATATGGACAACAAATCCTTATATATGGAAACAAAATTACATATGAACATTAAAGACAAAACAAGGAAAACAAAACCAGCAAAGCACCCTTGAAACCGCAATGATGCACGTTGACTCAAGGGAACTGCAAATTGTCACATGTCCATTAATAGCTAGCCAAAATTTTAAGCTTCAGTTAAGCCGTTCTCTAAACGTGTAAGCTGGTAGCAGAACTTGATGCAAATATTAGGAAAATAACAAAAATACTAGAATCAGTGACTTCATTTTGGTTATGTACCTCAACCTCCAAAAACCCTTGTAAGGCTCCTCTATAGGCAAAAATTGTGAGCCCCCTTTTCCTACCGGCTCCAACTCCTCTCTTGCGCGAACAAAAAGAAAATGTAAATATACAGTCTTGGAGTTGACATGCAATATTCAACTGTTAGTGCATGAGGCTAAATCAGTCAGAGTTTCTTGAGGAACTCAATGAAGATTCTATTCCATTAGCAGACTCTTCTCCAATTGTCAAAGTTGACGGATTCCCTTGGCTGCGATTTTCCTCATTACCATTAATGCGAGATTTTCCAGGCCTCACTCTAATATTGTTACCCAAGGGGAAAGGTTCCTGCAGAGATAGATTACGTCCATTTTGTCTCAGTATACAATATCAGCACAAGAACCAGGTATAAAAACTCAAAAATTATCGCACGCTCATATAGCCTTTCTGATGCACATAATGCTAGAAACAGTTAAAACCACAAAAACAGACTGCAGTATATAGCCATCAGAAGCAGCTCAAATCAGACTCAGAACCATAATGCTTTAGTTATTTGTAAGTCAAATAATCGTTAACAAAGTATTCCTACAAGAAAATATTTCTTGTCAAACCCAATGCATGTTATCATTAAATGTCAGGCAAAAAACTTTTAAGAGAGAAAGCCTGTAATGTTACTATCATTTTGCTTGTATCAACCCAATGCATTAATAAAGACATCATTATATCGGCTCTTTGAAACAAAATATCAGTACTATGATAGTTCCATTATAAACTGTAGTCAGCAAAAGGAAATTAGTTACAGCTGAAAAATGAAGTTGATTTACCGGATCGCCAGCATTTGGCCCATCTGTATGGAAGAGAATAGGGCGACAACGTTTATCTTCATTCATCAGACTTGAATTCTGGAAATGAGCAATAAGCGCAGATTTTCCTTGAATCCGGGCATAGGCTAGTACAGCTACCTTTTCACTGTTGAACTTCTCCCATTTTTTCCCATTAAAAGCCTGGACAATGATTCTTATCTATTAGATTTATCAACTAATAAAGAAACAAAAAGAAATGAATCAACTCAGAATTCATATCACAAAGATAAAAAAATCAACACAGTATTGCATAAGGATTCCCAAATAACCTTGTGGAATGGAATAATTTGACCCGGATCAATCATATTGATGAATGCATAGCCAACATTACATTTGTTCTGCAATCATTTGTAGAATTGACTTAGAAACACATTCATGATTGCTTCATTTAAGGAAAGTGTCAACCAAGTCCAAATAAAAGCTTGCCTTGAAATCAATTGGCAAATACAGAAAATCATAAGTTCCTCGACACTGCTCATCTATGGCAGCAAGAAGCATCTTTGAGGTATACCTGTCAAAATATTTAAACAAATATAATTATAAAAAAGGGACAAATCAAATGATCAGTGCCAAAGAATTTGCATCCTTTAATCCCTGTAAAATTTGTAAAATCTGTTATAGAAAATCGATTAATCAATATAAAAGTATATGTATAATATGCACAGGTATGTGAACAAACAAAATAGAGAGTCCGCATTTGTAGGATTAATGCAGCCAAAATGAAAAGGGCAAAGGCCAAATAAGCAATTGCCTAGGTAACTAATAATCTTGCCAGTGCAACATTCTTTTGTAAGAAAAGGATGAAAAGATAACAGCATAAGCACCAAAAATGCACAAAAAATAGGGAGACAATTGGCATACTTATTGGGAATATTTTTTATCATAAGTGTTGTTCGGTTGTCTTCCCCACGCAATATGCGGCCTAGGTCGAGTTCATATTGTTTTTTATCAGCATTGTTAATGTTTGCTTCACTTCTACGGGGATAGAGATTTCTCATTCGTTCATTGGTAGAATCAAATTTAGACATCGAAATCATGGGAAGTCTCCCAGGGAAAACATGTGACAACTGCTTAGGAGAGCCCTGCCCAGTATTGGACGTCAATTCTGTACCATTCCCACCAACATGAGAAAATATGTTATGAGAAGAAAAATCAGGAGGACGCAACTGCCAGCTACCAGGAAAACCAGGACTTCCTACAGAACCCAATCTAAAACCAGAAGCATCAGGTGACTCTCCCAAGTAAGAATGTTGTCTTTCCCAGGGTGAGGCTGTAACAACTGGTGCTGATCCCACTTGATGGTCTATATGTGATGCTCTCAGCACATGAGGCGGTGTTCTAGGAAAGCTGGGTATCTGTGGAAGACAAGGAGCACAAGCACCATTAACAAAGGATGGCGTTTTCTGCCAAAGCATGCCATTTGATGGAGGTTGCTGATGCAAGTTGGAGCCATTCCACATATGATAAAGTCCATGATGGGGCCGACTCCCATTTCCTGAAGGTCCAAGATAAAACAAGACTTTATATATCAGCAATCAAATATAGAGCTATTAAATCTATATTAAATATTGCTTCGGCCTACAATTACCCAGCACCAGCACCTTCTACCACTTACAAGTTGATAGAAAGACTGACTTCAATACCATGATTCAATTCAGAATGCTTAATCTCATATACTCACAGAGGCAAGTCTAAATTAATTTAGATCAATAGTTAGCCTTCTAAATAACAATTAATTATTTTGGTGTTATTAAAAGAAAGGAAAAGAAAATATTTTTGCATCATCATTAAAATAAACAGTCAAGTTCATTATAGTAAGGTTCTAAATTCCTATTATGCCATTAAGCAGTATGTCCAACCTTTGCGACAAATTGGTCCCTTTCTATCACAAGTTTATATTCACAAGCAAGCATTTAAAAAGGGTTACAATGAAGGAAGCTTGTACATGACACTTTCTAAGCACATTAAACTTACCTCCTGCATTAAATTCTGCCAGGCTCCCAGTTGAGCTCATTCCCTGAATGTGCCTGATGTCAGATGATTCCATTGATCCAGTTGCCATATTGGCAGCCATGCTAATGGTGCTTGAAAAGCTGAAAGGACTGCCATTAGCTAAACTATCACGATATTCAGGCAAAGAATGAGGTTGGAACCTTGGAACGGATGCAAATTTCATTGCATCAATAGCATTACTAGCCTCACAAACACCAGATACTTTTCCAGCAGATGCCCCTCTTGCAGTCTTGAGAATGTTAGAATTTGCACAAAACAATGAGTTGTCAATAAAACCATTCAAAGTTGGCCGTGTCACAGAATGAAATCCCTGATTATATTCATTTTCCAAGGAGCCAGCAGATGCAATAAATCCAGATGACATTCCTGCTGTAAGTTATGTCTAGTGAGACCAAGAACATCTTAGCTGCATGAGGAAATAAAGATAAGTGAAAGAATAGAACGTCATACCCTTATGTCTTAAGGATAAGCTGTCACTCAGATTATGACCAAGATCAGGTTCATCTTGTCCCTTCTGAGACTGCTGCATCATACTACAAAAGCAAAGTTTCGACCATTATTAAGATATTTTTCCATGAAGGTGATTGATAATAACTTTACAGTGGCACTCTATTAACCACTAAAATGTGAGAATGCAAGTAAAGGTGGTAAGAATAAACATGAAGTTACTATAGAAAACAGTTGCAGAAGTTACTATAAAAGAAGAAAATTAAATTAAAAATAAAAAAGAAGTGGTAATAGCCACCATGTTGCAATCCTGGGAAGGCCAGGTTCAAGCTTGATGTGCTTCCCAGCAAAGCAGATCCCGTTCAATGCACGAAGAGAAGCTTCTGCAGCTCGAACATCATAAAATTCGATGAATTTGACATGATTCATTTGTGGAAATTCATATATCTGCAATTACAGACACAATATTTAAGAACGCTTGTATAAGCTTTTAAAACACAAACACCAAAAATGGATGAAAACCAACAATCAACAACTTACTTCTCTAATATCTCCATAAAACCCAAAAATCTGTTTAAGTTCATCATTCAAAACAGATGAATCAAGACCAGATATCATCAGCGTACCATGGCCAATATCCTTCTCTGGAGCATTGCCCTAACATGTCATCAAATTGAGATATATCTATAAGGAAAGCATAAAAAATAGGCACACAAGCAACTAAACAAACAAAACACAAGAGCAGTAATAGTAAAAGATGATAAGATGAACAATAAAAAAACCAACTTTATCCAAATGATAAGAATGGAAAAGGAATTATGCATTAGTGACAATGATACCTTTGGAATTGAATAATGTATATCAAGTTTCCTAGATCTCAATGACCTATTTTGAAGTGCTTTCATTGCATTTTGTGCAGCCCTTAGGTCATAATAAGAAATCATAACAAATCCACGATGCTTGCAGGCAGTATAAATGGTTCGGATATCACCATATTGCTGCCAACACAAACAAAATAGTCCATTTACATGACATTATTAGAAGTATAAACGCTTCCATGAAAATTTCAAGTTAGCATTCACCAGCATAAAAGAACAAAGGTTCACCTGAAAGAGAGCCTTAAGCTCAGAGTCTTCTACACTGCTATTAATGTTTCTAACAAAAAGTGTTCTAGAAGATTGTTCACCAAAAGGAATTTTTCCTTTAGAAAATCCAAAGCAATCAGGATCTCCATCCACACAAGTGGTTTGTTTTCCTGAAATTAGATGTTCATCTCCTTCTAACTCCATGCCTCCACCACTGCTGAACAAATCAAAATCTTCAAAATCATCATTTGTTCCAGTATGAGCACTGCATCCTAACTCATCATTGACTCCAGAAAATAGGTCATCTTCATCAGGAAGGAGATTTCCAATAGTGTCAGCCTCAATTTCTTCAACAGATTTATATGGTTCTTCCTCAGGAAGGGAACCAACAGTAATGGGTTGATCGGACAACAAATCATTCCCCAATAACCTCACTGCATCATGTATGCATTCGCAAAGTAAGACAAGGGTATCAATTCAACTAAAGCAAAATCGCAAAATCTAAAACAAATAGAAAACTTTTCTTAGTTTCATCTTTCTAGTGGGGTTTGATGAGGGGAAGGTGCCCTTCTTTGTCCTGCTTCAATGCAGAAGATAACTAGCATATATGCATCTATAACAATACACAGACAAATGAATGCAATGAAAACTCACATAAAGTATTAGGAGTAAAAGGAATCAGTACTTGATTATACAGCAATACCCAAGATACATGTGTGCAACTATCTTAGCATGCATGAAACAAATTCTTACACTTTTGGCTAAACATCTCAGACAGCGAGCTTGAGAATAGACTACTTTCACGTGATGCAGCATTGGTGACAATCTTGTTCCCAATTAAACCATATGAGCTAGATGCTGGCTGCCTCAGCACTTTAGACCGTGATTTTTTATGATAATTGAATGAATCCACAGAATCCTTTAGCATATCTATAATGCCTGCTTCTCCGCCAAAACGTACATCTTCTGTAATTTCCCCGGATAGACTACTCTGTGACATTGGTAAGCCTGTTTTTGCATTTGTTTCAAGGGGTGATGAAGTACTCAAAATGCTGCCAGGTGATGCCGCCATTTCACTCTTCCCTGAAATATTGAATATAGAACTTACTCTATTCAGAAATTAGTTACATGATCAGCAGAACACAAATAAGGATATACACAGACATCACATCATTACTACAATCCAAACTAGCAAGATAAAAAGAGGAAAAATCTTAATAATATCACTACCAAAATCACACGAGCTTCACTTTAGCAGAGAACAGTATCTAAATTCATGAAATCACTATCAATGATCCCAGTTATACCACAATGAAAATGTTGCAAGAACAAGATACTGAATTTACATATGCATTATAAGGAATATATCTATTAAAGGTTGCAGCAATTAGGTTGTCACCGCAAACACAAACAAATGTATTAATTTTAGAAGTCAATTACTCATGTTAGAACTTAGAAGTGCATGCAACATTGACGAGTTATATTCATTATTCCAGAAGAAACAAATAAGTATACATAGTTTTCAGCAGAAAGTGAAAAGAGTATGAGTTAAAAAAGACAAAATCAACAATTATTATCACCAATCACCATAAAGTGAAATAAATATACCAGTTTTAGAATTTAAGACAATTACTCATATTAAAGATACTTGTTAGCAACGTTGATGATCATTTATTCTGAATGCAAACAAAACATACAAAAAATTTGAAACAGAATATCAGAGAAATACTGCTTGGAAAGTACAAAAATGGAACATTTCAATTAAGACCTGAGCAATATCATAAAGGTGTCAAATAAGGTATACAGAAAAAACATACGGAAAGACTCTTCAAAAGTTTAACATTGTCAAACTCAAAATGATAGCTCCTTGCCAATTTCTAAACTGAAGTGTGAAACACTTCACTGAATCTTAAATATCTGTTAGTTAATCTGTTTGGGGCATTAATGATCAGTGTCAAACACAGGTAAATCAGCCACATGTAGGACCTTTTGGAACAAATAATGAATTGATTGACCTCACCTTGCAGAAAATGGTCATGAATAGATTTTGGCTTCCGTAATCCGAGATTCTTCTGGCCATAAAGGTTCAACACAAGTTTAGAAAACCACAAGTCAGAAAGGCAATTACATTGAGCCCATGGAGGACATAAATTGATTGCCATTTTTTAAAATAAAACTGAAGTCTTAGACTGTAAAATGTTTTATGGAACTGAATATCATTAACTTGTCAAGATCGTATGATAAATTTTGAAAATACCGAGAAAGTTAGCTTAATAATTACCTCGGAAGCATATGAAATTTCATCCAAAAAGTGGGATGAGGCAGAAACACCCCTCTGCTCCATTATTTCAAAAGGCATCCTGCAGCTTGTCTTTCAAATATGGAAAGAGAAATATTACTGAAAACCTCCTCCCTTGCTAGCTTTGTTAGGCTCGATTCCTCCTCATCTGTTGGAAATTCAAGGTCACTTGCTTGACAAAGAAAAGACAGATAACAATGAACATGAAAATCCATATCCCAACTGCTACTTGCAGAAAGAAAAATTCAGACCCAGAAAATATAATCTATCATAACAATCAAAACGTTACTAACATCAACCACCCCAACACCCCCCCCCCACAAAGAAAAAAAAAGGAGTAGAAAAATGGACTAATGAAACCCTACCAGACCCATTTCCTAGATTCAATAGCAAAATACAAAAAACTTAGTATAAAACTAAGCCTCAAATAGTTACAGCTTCAACTAAATACCACCAGAAGAAAAAAGAACACAGAATGATATTGGGAAAAGAAGAAAGCTCGTTGCTTACCTACCAACAACCTACTACGGTCTAGCCATTTGTTTGCCAAGAAAATGTAGAAAAATTAAAGCAAAACCATCCATGAAAAATTAGGAAAACCCCATTCAAATGTATCAACAGCTCTCTCTTTTTTTTTTATTTAAAACCGAAAAAAGCATCTAGCTTAAGTTCTGCCACAAAATTACTCTGATGAAGAAGGAATTTCACATGAAAGCCTCAAACATTAACAGATCAAGAGAAAAAACCAAAATTTCAGAGATGGAATAATCTGAAAATATTAACAGATCAAAAACATGAAAATAAGAGGTTCTCATCTGACCTCAAACTCATAGTAATAAGTGCCACCAAAGAAAACCATTCAAACGTCACAAAATAAAAAATTAAAAAAATACAAAAACACACACATGTACACCGAACCATAATTATTTTTTTTAGCTAACAAATTCTTACCTTCTCAACATGAACACAACCTCGCACGCTCGAAAAATTCAGATACCTTTCTTCCCTACGTTCCTCCACAAAATTCAGCACACTCCTCATAAGAACTCGAGAAGAACGAGGAAGAAACAAACTAAAAATTGAATCTCGTAAACGCTTTACAACATAGGAAATTCAGAAACAAGAGATCCCACAATGTTTGCATCCAAAAAAACCTCCTTCCCTCCGCATTGCGATCTCATAGGTTCCTCACCGTTAAGAAAAGGAAAACCAACAGTTTGTGCACGAAAACAGCTTCTTCACACGGTGAGAAAAGAAAAACAATCAAAATTGGAAGCTGAAATCAGAAAAAGGGAGGTTCCGGCCCAACGCCGGTGAGAGAGGAGCGAAATTCCGGCGAGGTGAGGCTCGCCGGCGGTCGCTCTCTGGTTTGGAGAGAAAAAAACAGACAACGCAACAACAGAGGGTTTTTTTAGTCTTCTGTCAGAGAAAGAGAAAGGAAAAGGGTGTTAGTTGCCTTTGAAATGCAAAAAACAAAGAAAGTAAAAACAAAATTAAAATAATAATAATAAAGCTAGAAATGAGGGAGAATATATAGGCGAAGAGATAGTGGGTTGTAATAATAAGCTTAAATTTTTTCTTAAACCAAAATAACAAAATGAAACCTCTTTTATATATGCGATTGTGCTGTGTTTTCAGTTTCTTTGATGGAAGGTAGGGTTTGCATATCCAAAATCTAATTTTATTAGTTGCTTTTATTGTATATTTAGTTTTCATTATTTTCTCTAATTTTTTCTCCCTAAATGCTTCTTTTTATTACAACTATAGTTTCAATATCAACTGATGGGACAATGTGATTTTACTCATACCTAAGCGTCTTTTTTGGCTTGAGATTTTATTTTATTTTTAGATAATTAAAAATTTTAAGTAATGTTTTTAAGATTGTTAATAATATTTTAAAACTGTTTAAATTTGTATAAATAATCATTTATTTCTAAAAAATAAAAATTACTCAGTTCTTTAAAATTAGTTAAATCAAATATACATTAAGTATTGTTATTATATATTGAGTAACATCAAAATTATTTTTTATTTTAGTGTTAAATACACCTTTCTTTTTCTACAAGTGTAAAACAATAAGAATTTGTTATTTGAAATTTTAAAATCCCATGGTTACTTCTAATTCTATCAATAAAAATGCTTACAATACACAATATATATATATATATATATATATATATATATATATTATTAATAATAAAAAAAAGCTGGTTTGAACAAAACCACAATTCATATGTACAATTTTTATGAAAAACAAAAAAACTGTACAGAAAAATACGAAATACCATAACAATTTTATTTATTTTTTGTTAATGAATATCGCTTAAAATATTAGTCCATGAAAACAAAAATATATTTGGTCAAATAAAAATATTTATAATTTTAGGACTTCATTTCGCAAAAAAAAAAAAAAAAGTCACTACTTAATACATTTCTTTTATTGGTCTCCTTATCATATTTGGAAATAAAATTATTATTTAAATAAAAGGTCATTTAATTTTTTGAATATGCATATATGTATATTAATACTAATACTTTTAATTTAAAATTTATATTTGTTAAAATATATTTTAATTTATTACTTGTTAAGAAAAGATATATACATTTTCCTGAATAATATATATCATATTAATGAATATTTTCTTAATTAAAAGAAATATATTAAATAATTTTGAAGTTTAAAATATTAAATACTTATCTTTTCATTTACAAAAAGTAATTAGAGTGATACAATAAAAGAAACTAAAAGGATACATTCGCTTCAAAATGTTCAAAATAAAAAATTATTACCATAACTTAAAGGTAAAATATCAATACACAATTACATGTAAAATATAATAGCCAATATTCCATGTAACTTTTCCTCACATTAACTTTCCATTAGTTGTGAACTTTGCCTCAATTTTTTTAATTATTTTCCAATTCAAACAAATATTTAAAATCTGGAATACATATAAGAAAATCATAGAAAATCAAGTGTTTATTGTAATGGGAAACTCGTGTGTTTTAGGAAAATTGAAAAAATATGACTTGTTTAGAAATAAAAATTATTTGTATTTTAAAAGATAATGTAAACACTTCTATATGAGTAATTCTACATCATTCTAATCATTTTTCTTTTTTTACTTACAAATAATATATTTAATTTTTGCTTTCATTTAATGAGTAAAAAGGATGATATAACAAAATTAGAACTGATTTATTAATAGGATTTATCACATAATTCAAAATAATAGGAATCTGTAATTATAAAAGTAAAATAATCTAGAGGTGAGATTTTCCGATCAAACTAAGGTTGCTTTAGTAATTTAATAATTATGGTATTAAATTTAATCTTTTATTTACATAAAAAGTTAAATATTTCAGCTGCGTTTTAATTTTCATTATAATTGCAGATGTTAACTAGCATCTTAACGTAGATTTTTTTTAACTCATATTTTGATTTAATATGCAATTATAAAGTTATAGAAATAAACTTTATTTTAATTTTTAAAATTATATTATAGAAATTTTTTATTAAAATAATTAATATATAAATCTTGTCATAAATCTTTGTGTCCATAGAAATAAAAAAATTAAGTACAAAAGGTATATTTACGTAACATTAGGTAGAAGTTTTATATAAAATTTCAGTAATGTGTATGAAATTTTTAATTTTATTATAATGTATATATAGTATTCAATATAAAAATATTGTATGAATTATTTATGTCATACAAATAAAAATGTATATTGAAATGTATGTGTTATAATTTAAATATCCTACGTTATATGTTGATGCCATTATTTAAGGTAAATACCTTTTAATTTGTTTTTTTATTTAATACCTTTTAATTTGTTTTCTTTTATTACTATCACTACAATTCTATTTATTATATTTTACAACTTTCAAACATTTTGCCAAAAAAAAATCATTTTTATCATGTATTAATTGATACTTAATGCAAAGTATTTTTAGATGTTATTCCTCTTATTAAAAAATGCACTTTTCTTGTATTGATATTTAAATTTTAATTCAGTCTTAATTTATTTTTTAAAATTTTTATTTTTAAAAATTTATTTCTTTATTTTAATTGTATTTAATATAATGAAATATTTACTCTTTTTTAAAATAATAAGATTAATTTATTTTTAAAATAGTTATACAATATACTTTTTAAAAATAATTTTAAGTTAAATAATACGGTAACGTTCGAGAATAATTATTAATATTTATAAAACAAACTTATATTATTAAATTTCCGTACACCCAGGTTCGGTTACTAATAAATAACAAAATTTCTTTTCGTTGATTTTTTTTTCATTAGTTACAAAATTTTCTAAAAAAAATTGTTACATATAAAAAAAATTGCTCATCTTATTTAGGAACAAAATCATTTTTAATACATTAAATTTGTATTACATCAGGATTTGTGGTAAATAGTTTGTTTTGTTGGGATAAATTATACAAACAAAATTGAAATATTTTAAAAGAGTTTTTAAATTGACAAGTTGTTTTGATAAATTTTTCATTAACTCATTTACATGCTCCCTAAAACACAAAATTTTATATTATCATTAAATAATTTGAATATTTCGTATAATTATTGAAAATTTATTTATTATATTTCAACGTTAGAATAAATAACAATTAAAATTAAACTCTTTAAAAATAAAATAATTATTATTTCAGTTTAATTTTCTTTTTGTAATGCAAAAGTTTAAGTTTTTTCTTTATAATGTAAAACTTTTTTATTCTTAAATTTTGACAACTATTTTATTTTTATAATAAATAAAGTTATACTATTAAAATATTTTTCACAATCATTTTTCTAGAGTATTTAGAATTGATAAATATGCAAAGAATGAGAGTGAACTAATAAGTAGAGATATTTTATATTGATTAATCAATCGAGATAAAATATACATATTTTACATTAGTTTTATCATTAATTTATAATATGTCTATTTTCTACTGTAGTTGCACTAAAATCAATATTAGTTATAAATATTTATACATAGATTATGATACAATAGATGTAGAAATCTACATTTTACATTGAATATGTTATTAATTTATTTAAAAAGTATATTTATACATTTTAGAATCTTTGTTTGTGTGTTTTAAATATGATGTTTTTTTTTACATTATAATTAATCTTAATAAACAAATACGGACACTTTAACATAGATCAAAACATACAAAATTCATTTATAACAAAATATATCTTATACAAATTCTGATTTAGTATAAAATAAGATATAATGTAAGAAGAAACTATATGTCATATAATGTTTAAAAACACTCCAATAATTCTTTAAATTTAAAACAAACTTTGTCCAACATTTTAAAACATCTTTAAGTTCTTTTTTAGGTAATAGATCAATATCTATGAATATCTACAAGTTCAAATTACAAAAAAAAAAAAAAACATATCCATAAATAATATAAGTAATATATTTAAAATAATAAATATAAATACTAAATCTTACAAATATGTAGCGGTTGTTGTGATGACAATCAACATATATCTCATCACACAATATTTACACTCTTAAATCTCTTTTTGTTTGTGTAACTGTAAGAAAATAATCAAAATTGAATATTAAACCATAATAAGTAACTTTAAAATAAAAAAATTCAATATTAAACATAAAATTTTAAAAAGCATATACGTGGGTTGATTCATATAGGCTTATTTCTCATGACATGTTTAACTTTTAAGACATTGCATGTTTCCATATATCTATGATAAAGATAAATATTTATGTTATGTGAACAAATGATATATATATATATATATATATATATATATGTGTGTGTGTGTGTGTGTGTATAATATGTAAAATAATTTATAACAAGTATTAATATACTTACACATCAATAATAGCCTCTTTTTTGTTTATTCCATGACGAGTAAAGGAAGACGACTTCGTTATCTCTGTAACAAAGTATGATTAATTGTCAATGGCTCCTGCAAACTAGAATAACCAGTAAGTAAAGTGAAACCAAATTTATAAAAAGCTAACTAGGAAAAACTTACCCATAATAATATGGTACAAAGTAGCAACTCTTTCTACCTTCACACAACATTTTTCAAATGTGTCTCTAAATAGCTTCAAGTTTGTTCCATACTATATTTGAATAGGGTAAGTGAATCCATACAAATGTTCTACACCTTTTGAAGTGAAAAAGTTGAAGTAGATACCTACAAAATGCTCATATAAGTGTTTTAACATTTATTTGACTAATTTTTTAAAATGATAAACTTACATTAACAACACTTAAATAACTGAAATGCAAAACAAACACTCAATCATTGTAAGATTCACAATGTCTTTTGTGTTAAATATAATAGGATTTATGATGCATTGCCACTTATTTTAGCATCTAACTATAGTTACAAATGTTGTCTTCCTATTTTCATTGTTAATATACATAAGCGTACATCAAATTTTGACTCTTTTAACATATCAAGAGTATCCTTGTAGT